CTACCCCCCCCCCCAAAAAAAAACCAAAAAAAAAAAACCAACAAAAAAAAAAAATTAAAAAAAAAAAAAACTAATAAAAACCTGAGCCGAAAAAATACCCCAACAGAAAACAAGAACATTTTGCTGTAGTGTGGTTCTAGGCTCAAAGTTCTACAAAAAAAGAAAAGCCCCCCAAAAAAACAAAACAAAACAAAGCAAAACTCCCAACAAAACAAGAGCTGAAAACCCCCCAAAGACAAAACAAAATAAAACAAAACAGGAAATAGGAAGAAAGCAATTCAGGGAACGAGCCAAAGATCCTGAAATCATCAAAGGATTTGTTTTAGCAGGGCACGGGATGGTTGCGTCCCTTTACCCCCTCCTTCTACTTTCACCACCAGTCTTTTATAATAAGCCATGACGTTTTTAACCCTGGCCCCGAGAAACTCAATCTGTGTGTGTCTCCAAATCTCCCGCCAGAGGGCGGTCCCGGTACGGCAAAGTATGGCGGGAAAATTGCCTGGGCTCTTTTCGTTTTGGGGATCGCGCTAAGAAAAAGAAAAACACACGTCACAGAGATTTAAAGACATTGCGGATAATTTTAGAGTCGACCTCGCGAAAACCTTACGAAGAGGGTAAACGGTGTACGCTAAAGCGAGTGGTTGGTGGGTTTTCTGGGGTGGTTTGCTCCATCTTTCCTGTCAAACATCTAGTGTCCTTATCTTCTCTCCACCTTCCGTTGTGTGTTCGTTACTTTCTTGTAACACCTCTAATCTTCGGTACTTGTATGACTTCATTGTGTCGCAAGAACCGTAAAACGCTTACTAAATCAAAAGGTGTATGCTAATGCGAACATCTCTTTATTTAAGAGACCTCCCCCCAAAAAAAAAAACACAAAAAAACAAACAAAAAGAAAAAGAAAAAAAACTACTCTCCCTACCCTCTTCTTTTAGTAAGGCTTGGTTACTGTTGACTTGATTGGTTTCTGTATTTCCAAAAAAGAGGACCCACTTAAAGGACAAGAACTCTATCATCTCGGCACCAATGTCTACAAAACTTCGAATAAACAAAATTCAACCATGAGGACATTAAATCTGTAAATATGAAGAACATCAATCAAATGTTTGAGAAATATCAAGTTTTTTAAATTTCAATCAAAATTGGGCAAGACGTAACATTTTACTTCTTAAAAGCGTTCAGGTACAGGGGTGTGATCGACACGTTCTGGTTCCAGGACAAGGGGGGTAAAAGCACAACAGTCACATCAGATGGAAACCTCTCACTGTGCTGATACATTTTTGTAGAAGTTTGAGGAAGGGGTGTTATGCTGCAGAGGCGTGGTTCCAGTAAGATGGGTCCACACACTACACGTCAAGAGTGGCCCTTGTGTTGTTGTAAGGAAGGTTTAAGGAACACCCTGTAAGCCGAAAGTTAACACACGAATGGTCACCACATTCTCCATAACTTGAGCTCTTTCAGATATTACCTTTGGTTGTTTGTTTTTTACGGACAGAGTCTACGGAAACAACCCAATAACAATCAAACAGTTAAAACTCAATGCTGAACATGACGTCAAATGAATCGACCCAGAAACGCCACGGGGTCATTCAAAATTACTAGTGGCATACAAAAGCTTGTAGTGAGAGAAATGGTCAACACCTGGAGATTTAAATAGCTATCACCTCCTCAGGTTTATTTGGCAATATCAATTTTGAATAAATTTGTTCTCCATTGCCCAAATAGTGACTATTTGAAATGGAACAATATGGTTGATTTTTCGGTTGTAAAGCTTTGCGTTTCATTCAGTTTAGTTAAACATTTTTAAAACTTAATATTTTTTTAAATGATTCTTTTTTGTCATACTGATTAATGTGACGTCCCCTTGGTTGAATTTTATTTCTTTGAAGTTTTGTTGAAATTGGCAAAAAGACGATCGAGTTATTGCCCTTTAAATGGGTCCTTTTTTTTTCGACACCCAATATTCCAATCCGTATAATTTGTTGTGTTACTGAAAAAGCCTCTTTGCCCTTTGTGTGCTATTCTTCGGCCCATATCTCAGCATAATGATGTGTCGGATTCTCTTATGTAACAGTTTTGGTTTGATCTGCTGGGCAACGAGTTCAGAGTTCATATTTTCTTTTTTCTTTCTTTCATTCTTTCTTTCTTTCATTCTTTCTTTCTTTCTTTCTTTCTTTCTTTCTTTCTTTCTTTCTTTCTTTCTTTCTTGTTTTCTTTCTTGTTTTCTTTCTTGTTTCCTTTTTTTGTCTTTCTTTCTTTCCTGTCTTTCTTTCTGTCTTTCTTTCTTTCTTTTAAAGCGCTGTCCGTCCTCTGTAGTATGTTTGTAGCCCTCCAACAACGACCTCCAATCTGTTCTATCGGCTGTTCTCCTTGTCCAGATTGCTCGCACCCGCTCTCTGATGTCATCTTGCTACCCTTTTTCCGATCATCCTCTTGGTCGTTTTCCTTCAATTAATCTCCCCTCAGGGCATCTTTCTGTCCATCTGTTATCCTTCATTCTACCCATGTGATCAGCTCATTACCATTTTTGTAGGAGTACAATTTGGGGATATCTGCCACTTCTGTTTTCTTTCCTATTTTCGTGTGCGTAATTAGATCTTGTATTCATACATCCATCATCTATCGTTCCATTTCTTTTAGTGATATCCCTACTTTTGTGATATTTCATCTATAGTAAAACTGATTACCAGCGTCTGTATTGTAGAGGATAGGAGCTTCGCGGTCGCTCGCAGGAGACCCGAGTTCAATTCCTGCGTGGGGATAGTAAATGACTATCTCGGTCTTTCTACTGGAATGCTATATCCCTCTCAGCCTGGGCTGGCCCTGACAAGTAGAGTCGGATGCCCGCCTCCTAAATGACCTAAATTGTGTCGATGGAGGCGTTAAAGAATACTACATTCAAAAAGTAAAATGTATTAGTGGAGAGTAACCTTCAGGACGATTAGGCACCGACTCATGCTACTTTTCACGGGGATTAGAAACAAAAAAAGCAGTGTGGAAATTTTTAACGGGTGGCTGGCGTGTGCTCCGGTGAGGTTTACTGCTCCTCCTTCCTTTCTTATCCAACATCTATCGTCCTTATTTCTTCTCTTTCGTTTTTCTTTGTAGCTCACTCTCTTGTAGTTTCCTCTAATCTTAAATCTTTGGCACTTATATTATAATCTATTTAAGTTGAAAGTGCCGTAAAACTATTACCGAAACAAAACTAAAGATGTTTTACTTTTGAGCCAAGTGTGAAATATTTACTTTTGAGCAAAGTGTCCAATTAAAAATTTTTTTTTGGGAGTGAAGTGTACAATTGTTACTATTTAGCGAAGTATCCAAAGAAAAAATTATTCAACTTTGTGAGAGTTCCTACTCAGTCAAAGAGCCATTCCAACGATCTAACAAAATACAAGAATTCAAAAGCAAAGACAAACTTTGTGTTACGTTATGAATTTAGATGTTGATAAAGAAAAATAAAACCAATAACGAATGTAACTCAAAACAGATGTAAACTTGAGTTTGACACCAAAGTACAGAGAAGAATGAAAAACAGATTAATACACAAGCCAGTTTTTATTGGTCGCCACATACAGGCGTAAAATGTTAAAGTAGATAGACAAAATATAGAAATAAGTAAGTATTATAATAGAAAATGAATGCTTTAGTAGCCACGGTGTGTTTTCTTGCTTATTGCGGAAGAGAAGGCGAACCTATGAAGGTTTTTTTTAACCACCATAAATTTGTCGAAACTTTCAAAGTTTTCACTTTGTTATAATCCTTTACAAGAAACCAAGTAAATAAAAGACTAAACAAATCAGTTTATGGACACACAAATAAGCAAATCAACGAATACAAGAGTTGTTAAATAATTTTTTTTAAAAAAAAGCTCAAAAGGCAACTTTTTAACTGCGTTAAACAACAATAGTTGCAACAACAATAGCACCAACAATAAGACCAAATAACAACAACAAAAACAACAAGAACAAAAACAGCATCAACAACAATAATCATAACGAAGGAGACGGCGGCAAAGACATAGACAAAAACACCAAAAATTTTACAAAACAAGAATAGCGTCAACAAAAAAAAAAAAAAAGCAAAAACAACTAGTGAACGTTTCGAGCGTACGTTCGATCGTGCTGTTGTCCACTTCTTTAGGAAGTCTCCAACCAGAATGCCCTAGAAATTGTAAGGGCAGAAGAAAACTGAGGACGTATAACTCACAATCAAATCGTTCTCTCGAGGGTCATTGCTCTAATTTATTGTGCGAACTTCAGCCTAACAATAGTAATTTGCCTTCATTTTCTAAGCACGTTGGGTGCACATGAAGAGAGAGGTGAGAAGTTTATCACTACCAACCCAGAGCTCAAACCCCTGTCCCCCATCCTCATTCAACCCAACTCTCCTCCCCTGTGACTTGTGATAGTTCGGTGATAGAGAATAAATTAGCATGACATCGATTCCTCTTGAGGAAACTTAAGAACCCAGTGTCAGTGAGTGAGGTTTTAGGGGACGAAAGTCATAAGTAAGTCCCGAATGTCGACGAAAGTCGAAACGACAAAACAGTCAGGTGGAAAAGGGGTTGGGTCCCCGGTTAGGGGGGGGGGGGGGGAGGTGAGTGTTGAGTAGCATTGCATTTACATGAAGGTACAATAGATCTTTATGTTTTCATTTTTAGAGAGCTTCGGGGGAATAATAACGCTTGCCCGTTAATTGGAGACGGAGACAGAGAGAAAGAGAGAGAGAGAGAGAGAGAGAGAGAGAGAGCCAGAGAGAGAGAGAGAGAGAGAGAGAGAGAGAGTGAGAGTGAGAGTGAGAGTGAGAGAGCCAGAAAGAGAGAGAGGGTGTGTGTATGTGTGTGTGTGTGTGTGTGTGTGTGTTAGAGAGAGAGAGAGAGAGAGAGAGAGAGAGAGAGAGAGAGAGAGAGAGAGAGAGAGAGAGAGAGAGAGAGAGAGAGAGAGAGAGAGAGAAAGAAAGAGAGATGACGCTGTCAGTAGTCTCATCCATAATTTACTTACGTGCATTGGAGACGAAGGCTATGAAGGCCCAGTATGCCGTAGTGACAACAATAGCGGAGTTACTGCTCACGTTGAACAGAACCCACTGAAACTTCAGCACCAGTGGCATAGCACGGATGTAGATCGGATCTGGAAAATGAAAAGTGTAGTTTATGTAAGTGTTTTATGGCACTTGCAACACAATAAGGTCATATAAGTGCAGAAGATTAGAGGTGCTACAAGAGAGTAACAAACACAAAAAAGAAGGAGGGGAGATATAGGCGATAGATGTTTGATAGGAAAGAAGAAGCAAACCACACCAGAGCACCCGCTAACCACCCACAAACGAGAAATAAAACAGTATGAATTACTAGAAATGATCTTTTTTTTCACGCTTTGTATTGCTTTAGGAAGAAGAAAACCCACTGAAATTCAGGACCAATGGCATAGCACTGATGTAGATTGCATCTGAAAAAACGACAAGCAAAATAAAATGTGAATTACAAGAAACGATGATTATTTTTTCAAAGGTTGAGTTTGCTCAAGTTGAACAAGATCCACTGAAAGATCAGTACCAATGGCGAGGTGCAAATGTAGATTGGATCTAAGAAAAAAACAAACCGACAAGCAAAGCGAAATACGAATTACAAGAAAAATAATTTCCCCCATCCAGTTTTAGAGTGCTCAAGTTGAACAGAACCCACCGAAACTTCAGAACCGAAGTCAACGCCCGAACGTAGACTGGAAAACGACAAGCAAAACGAAATATGAATAACGAGAAATAATAATTAATATACCCTTTTAGGTTTAGATTTTTGCTTTAGGTGGTGGACATGGTGAGTCACTACAAAGTCCTGAGTTGAATACAGTTTGGAACAAATTAATCGTGAATATTAATAAGCAAACCATCACAATCATTCCAAAATCCCCCCCCAAATCAATTTCAAGGGGGTTTACAGATACAGCCATTGTCGGAAAAAGACCTTTAAGGGGAATCTTGTAATAATAATGTAGTTTCGAGGCTAAAGCAGCACCTGGATAATGGATGGCTGGTGCTTCTGTAAATAGATTATTATTGATATAGTTTCGTTCTGTTTCGTTCTGTGTCATTATTCGCTTTCTAGTTGAAAAATTAGCAACGCTAGGATCTGGCTGGCTCAGCGGAATGTCCGTGACCTCGACGATGTGAACAAGCAGCACTAATGTAGCTGGCGTGGGATTACGTCGTTTTCCCTTATACCCAGTGCACACGGCCCATTTAATACATTTCTTTAATTTGATACGGTTGGGGACAGACTAATTTCCTTTTTAAAAACGAAGAGGCAAAAGTTACGGTTTAGACACAATTCGACGAAATCTTCAAAATCAAACAAGAGTCGTATGCTTTGGATGACAAAAAAGCCAATCACAAGGCTGGTAGTCTACGAGCCACATTGCATTTCAGGGTCAAGGTCAAATATTTTCTTTGCGTGCGGAATGTGATAATGAACGGCGTTTATTCAGAGGGACTGAAAAAGGCTATCAACATGTTCAGAGTTTGTTGTATTCAATAACCTCTCATTCTCAATACAGCAACCTCAATAAGCGGTAGCCGTCACTTGAAACCATTATTGAAGGAAACAGATGTTTTATGAACAGTAATCTTTGTATACAGCAAACGTTGCGCAGCGCCAGATTTGACCTCTCCACTAAGGTAATCAAAGATGAACGTTTTAGTTTAGTATAGTTTTAGCAAGAGCCTTACGGCACTTGCAACACAAAAGGTCTTAATATAACTTTCGAAAATAAATTAGAGGTGGTACAAGTGAGCAACAAACACAAAAGAGATGGAGGAGAGATTAGGACAATGGATGATTGATAGGACACAAGGAGCAAACCGCACCAGAGCACCTACCAACCACCAGCTGGTCAAAGTTTTGTCTGCTTTGACTTTCATGCCAAATTTTAAGTAGCGAGGCAGGGTTCTATTTGGAGTATGCATTGAAATTGCCATTAATCGACGCGACCTGGCCCAACCCATCCCATTCGACCGGATCCGATACGATCCTGCCAAAGGGCACAACCTTGTATTACACATCGAGTGGGGGGGGGACGTAACTCAGCCGGAATCACAATAATCGAACCTCTTTGAAGCGAGAACATCGGCCGCGGTTATTCCCGCTTTAATGGGTCAACAAAGGGACAGAATTAGAAACAGGGGCGACCACCGCAAGAGTCTAGTACATTGTTTTCCCATCGCCGTGCCACGGACGCTGTGTCGGGCGGTCTGTCCAGCCAATATTTGATCACCTGTTTGGAATTCTTAATTGCATCATGGAGCGGGAACCATGTGGCGAAACTGCATGTAGCGGAGGCTGGAACGAGCCTAGCCATAATTTTGACATAACCTTTTCCCATTTTGTATAAATACACGCGCATTTATATTATGTGCGCACACACACACGCACACGCACACACAAAAGTTCTCTCTCTCTCTATCTCTCTCTCTCTTTCTCTCTCTTTCTCTCTCTCTCTATCA